AAAATGGAACAGAAGCTATCATTATTATATCTGGAATGGAGGCCTTTCTTGCACTAAGTTACATTGGATAATTTTGCTTTGTACCCAGACTTTCCTCTTTAGGGCTGGTTGTTGAGAAGGTTGTTGAGACACTTTCAGCTACAAAGTGTTCAGAGGAAATGAATTATCTGGATTTTTAGGATTCAGGCCCCAAAATGGGTTTGAGGCAGCACTGGTTGCTCTGATAGATGACATTTATTGGGCCTGGCTGGGAGGAGTGCACTATTTATAGGTCATATTTAATTTGTTGATGGCATTTGATTCCTTGGCCATGTATCCTACTGAGATATCTCTAGAAGTTGGGAATGGAGGCAGATTTTAAGTAGTTTAGCTTCTGCATTAGACAGAAGTTCTAGATAGTTGTTTCGGAAGAGTGGCCTACTCCTTGGGCAGTCCCTTATGGGCTCTCCCAAGTATCTATTTTTTCAACTCTGTTGTTTAACATCACTATGATACTTCTGGATAAGTACATTATCTCAGTTTGGGGTGACATATCACCAGTACATTAATGATACTCAGTTGTATAAGTTGAATTAAAAAGCTGTCAAGGTATTGATTGGCTGTACCCTGATGGCAGTGAGTATCTGGAGAAGATAAAACAAGCGGAGGTTGAACTCAAACAATACAAAATTGTTACTTGTTTGGAAGTCATGTAGTTCTTTGTTCCATTTTTAAGTCTGAATGGGAAGCCACTCCTGAAGAAGCAGCTTTGTGATGTTACTCCCAGCTATTGGTGGATGGGCAGGTGGAGGCTGTGATCAGGAGAACCTTTCTCCAGCTTTGCTTGGTGTGTCCATTGCAGCACTACCTGGAGCAGGAGTTTGTAATGGTAACTCATATCCTCATCACCTTTGCAGTGCACTCTGCATAGGGGAACATTTCAATATAAGCTACAACTGATACAGGATACAGCAACTCTTGTGCTGAAAAATAAACACTATCATATTAGAATCATATCTCCAAGTGTCTTCAGTATTGGTTTTGACCATTAAAGCCCTTAATGGCTTGGTTCCTAGATTCTTGTAGAACTGTTTTTTATGAGTAAAAATGTATGTATGGGAATGGCGTAATGGTTGGAATAATGGGATTCTGGCCAGAGTTACCTTATAGGGGATAAAAATTTAATGAATAATAAACGATATTTCAGTTATGTTTCCCTCCTAAGGATGTATTGTAGTAGCTCCATATCAAATACAATCAGGATAGATTCAAATTCCAAATGCCTGTTTGAAGCTAAGGTTGCCTTATATTGATTGGTTTTGTCTGAGCATCCAGAATATATGCTACTGAAAATTATTATATTAAAAATATAGCTAATTCAATGTATATTAGCTTAATTAAATTCATTTAATCATTTTCTCTCATTTAATCACTTTCAGCCATATATTTTGTCTTGTTACTAGATAGAAACAATGAATTCTTTAACAAATGAAGCAATGGCAATGCAGAAAGAAATAGATATTCGATGTCAGCACAAGATTACTGAAATGGTAGCACTTATGGAAAAACATAAGGTAAGCATAATCTTTTATTTACATATAAATGATAGTTAATACAATGCTGACCAATACCATGTGCTCCCATAAACCTTCACCGGTGCGGACCAGGCTCCCTATCTCATTTGTTTAAAAACATGTTAACAATATTCAAGTTCAAAACTGGTATTTTGAAGAAAAATCACCAATATCTAGCATCATATGTATTTATAGGAATTCCCTTGAGCCCCTGAAATTGGTAGGAAACATCTACAGAGATTATTTCACTTTCTAATAAATAAGTGATTTGTCCCGTGGCCACCATAACAGTTATTTTATAAGAACAGAAATAGTTTATCCGCCACCTGATTTTAGAATTTCCAATGTGTCCAAAATGTTTTGACCTTTAAAATAAGTTTTGTTCAATAAAAGATATATGTGGATGGATAACACTGCAAAAATTGAAAATTTTAAGTGCTCTTTTGCTGCATGTAGTGTAAAAATAAAGTAAATAGTGATATTGCCAGACAAATCATTATTTAGATATCCACTAATATAGAATATAGATATTAATTATAGAACTAATATCTTCATATTTATTATAAAATGCTCAAATATTGCAAAGAATTGGATTATAACCACTGAGGTCCCTTCTAATTTTGTAGTTGTATGATTCCAGTTTTTTTTTATCGAGAGTACAAGGTAATTTAACTGATCCTGTTTTTTGTTGATCTGCTAAATAAATTGTTGGTTGCTGCTTAGTGTCTGTTTTATCTGTCTTTCGTTTTCTTATATTCCATCAAACTGCTGTTCCTATGCACATATTCTTTGAAAATATCCCTATTAAACATATGGGTCTTATTTCCAAATCTTGAGATTGTATGTTTACAGGGCAGTTAAATGTCAAGTAATATAGCCAGTAGAACTATATGGCTTGTTCTTATTAGATAGGGAGAGGTGAAAATATTTCAGATCTCTGTCTTTCTTTTTCTCTCTACACCAACATCAATATAATCATACATGCATTCACACACCTACATGCTCCCCCTCATGCTAAGACGTTAGTGTAGCTGCTCTCTCATTTCATCTGCCAATGTGAGTCAAAAGTGCTCTTCTTTATTTTTGCTTATGTACAGATACCTGATAGTTGGTTTTCCACGTGTTTGATATTCCCATGTCCCAGCATGAAAAATGAGATGGAATATGTAGTTTCAGTAAGGTGGCCTCTGCCACCTAAACAATTTTAGCTATGAAGGCATACAGCTACTATCCAGAAATGTGATGGTACATTTGCAGTAAGGTTACTGCAGCAGAATATTCACCTCTGAAGGCTCCTTGTCCTTGAAACCTAGAATGTCCACACAGAAAGTATTCTGTTGGCATAAGAACACCTTTGCCCAATTTAAACATGCAACAGGCTGGTGGTTTCCATTATGAAAACATGTTTTCAACAAATGTTAAATGTGTCACCTTCAAACAACAACAACTAAACTGTAAATGAGCTTAAAGAGGAAACAAAAAGGAAATTTGTGGTCAGTAAGTTGAGTTAGTAAAGAGTCTGTATAACTGATGTCAAACTTTTAATCAAGCTGATTTATATTTGAATAGTCAAAATTCTATGACTTACAAAACTTTCAGAAAGAAGTCCTTTGTTTCCAATATGCTTTGATCAGTGATTAATAAAAATGGCCTTATGAAAAGAGCACTGTTCAGGATGAATAGAGCAGAAGAATAGCCTTGTCATTCCTTTTGCTCCACAGAAGGGTCTTACATGCATGTGCAGCACATTAATAGACATTACTTTTCTTGAAAAGAGACATCTGCTTGAGGCAGATTGATTTCAGTTCAGTACTTCTCACTGAAAAACAAAAGTGGTATAATCTCCATAGTAAAAGTTGCTGGTCAAGATAAATTGTTTTTTACTCATGATGTAATGTACTTAATTGAAATAATATACAGCGATTTCCCACTCCCTTAATAATTATATCCAAATGCCTTATTATTTTTAGTTCAGTTCTTAATGATATCTCACATTAGGAACATATTACCATGGAGAAAATGTATGAGGTCTCTAAGAGTTGATGATGATTTGATGGCACATAATCAGTATGGAATGTAATCCATTTTTAACTACTAAATATCTGTTCTGTACAGCACCAATATGATAAAACAGTGGATGAGAAAGATACAGAACTAGAGTTTCATAAGACAAAACTGCAAGAACTATCATCAGAAATAGAGTCTTTGGTAAGAATATCTTGTAAGTTATTTTCAGATGATGTAGGTGCTTCAACTTTCCATTTTTTTTCTGAAGTATTTGCATGGCCATACTGGTTACTACTTGGATGAAAGAACTCTCAAAAATTTCAGAGCAAAACTGCAAGTTTAAAAACTTCCTGGCAAAAGACAACAATAAATCACGTATTTTTGCTGTGAAAATTACAGTTAAATTAAAGTTTCAGTTAAACTTTGTTTCTTTTTAATAGTTCTTTTTTCTGCCATATTTACTCTTTACTGCTTTAAAAAAACTTATGAGTATTTCATAGGTTCTGTCCCAACTTTATTTCTCACATAATTGTTATTCTCAGAAAAATGAACTTTCTTGTAAGAAAAGTGAAGTTTTTTCTCTTCAGGAGCAACTTAAAAGAGAAATTAATGAGAAGGTATGTCTTCTGAACTTACAGTAAAGATACACTGCTGTTCAAATAATGGATTCTTAATGTTCTTCCATATAACTAGACACTAAAATATAAATCCTAATTTATTATATTAGAATGAAAGATGTCATCCAGCAATAATATGTATAAAATATCCATTTAATAAACCCGTATCTGATTTTTAATTACAAGTTAATAAACTCATTATATAACTGAAGGAAAATGTTAAGAAGTAAATACATTTTATTACTTTTAATAAAAAATAAAACATGTTTGAGTGGTCTTCGGTGCTCTCTGAGCTTGGTTGTTTTCTTGAAGATGTTTCATTACTGAAACTAGGTAATATCACCAATACATTGATGATGTTATCTAGTTTGGGTAATGAAACATCTGCAAGAAAATAACCAAGTTCAGAGACCACCACCCATTATTTCAACCCTGAGCTACAAATATTCTCCTTTATTGATAAAACACGTTTTAACAGTACTTTTTAACATGGTTACTAAACCAAACATTATTAAATATATTATGAAGCATACTGTATTCAGGACTACATGTTTTATGGAATAACTTTACTACATTTTAGATAAATGTAGCATCTTCATTGAAATTATAGTAAAAGTGGAATTTGTATAGTGGTTTGCCCTATTTGTCAATCATGAAGCAACTTTTATGATTTTTAAAATATATTTTAAATAGGAAGAAGAATAAAAAACAGATTAAAGGCTAAGACTTAAAGTGTTAGCAAATTTTGAAAAATCTGAAGTGGACAGCATTCACCAACTATTTTAAATAAATTATACAATATAATCAATAACTTGGAGCAATGATTGAGTCAAGGCAAGCTGGCTTAGTTTTACTAATTTTACACAATTAGGTATGCTGATGGTTACCAGCGTATCCATTCAACTGAATTAGAAAATTAATATGGCTTATTTATCAATTTTCATTTGCTAAATTTTCAGCTGAGAGTAGGTGTTAAGGTCCCTTCTGAAGTTAAATGACTTCTTAATCAAAACACGTTACATTTTTATGGAAAAAATCCTTTTACTTGATTTGTTTTTTGTTTTTTTTTTTACGTTCAGGAAAACCTAGCCAGAGAAGCAAATCAGGTAAGGAGAGCATGCAGATCATGGCTTTAGAATTCTTTCCAACTCCTTCATAATAGTATTGTTCAAGATCATGTGGCCAGGAGGGAGGAGGGGGGCTGAGAGCATTTAGGATTTTTTTTTCTGATTTCGCTGCTACCTGATCTGGCTCATTTTTTAAACTTAATATAACTTTGCTGACTTCTTCCCTCCAAATCAAATTTAGTCTTGATCTGTTCAGCTTTCAAAGTATGATCATGCTGATCATTCAGTTTTCAGACACAGGCCTACTGATAGACAGGTAAAGTCCAGAGTCCCTTAAGGTAATTTCTTTCCCACATTCTGTTTGGCTGGAAAAAAATAAAAAACATAAAATTGAATGATTAACTTTCTTTATCAGAATTTTTTATACTCCTAAAGTAATTTTATCTTATAAATTAGATTAATTCAAGTTAGTTGAATTTATGGTTTCTTTTTATTATTTTGTACTGTTCTTACTATATTTAATTTTAGAAACTACAGGCATCACTTGTAGAAATTCCTAAAGCCACTAATTCAGACCCTCAGTCAGTTAACTCCCAAAAGAACATATATCAACATTTTATACCTGTTAATGAGAACATAGAATATACAGAGAAGTCTTCATGGACACCTGCCAAGGTTTGTTTCTTAACAAATTATTTTGTTTCCTTTTCATTTATTTTAGATTTACAAAGACAGTGTGAAGATGGTTTTCAAATATTAACCATTTAATATTTAGAGAAAATGTTTTAATTTTTTTAAAATTTTTATTAATTCAAGCCTTTTTGGTACATTAGAACCATTAAGGCACCAGATTAGGAATCAGGAGATTATAAATTCTACTTCCGCTTTAGGCACAAAGCTAACTGAGTAACTTTGGAACTGTAACTCTTGCCTTAGAAAAGAGATAGCGGCAAACCATTTCAAAAAATATTTCTAAGAAAACACAAAAGGACAAAAGAAAAGCAACAAGAAAACGAAATAAAAATGGGGTGGAATAAAATACTTACATATGAATATATACATATAAATATAACCTCTAACTTATAAATGTTATCATTTTTTAAAGAAAAGTAGTAGTATTGCAGTTGCATAAACATTACACTGAAATGATGTTTCAAGTGCAAATTCAAGAAAATGAGATTTAATACAGCGATGAAGAAAAACAAAAATTAAAAATCAATTTTAAAAACAAAAAAAACCATAACGTATTTGCAAGAAAAGGCATTTAAGCAGCCCCTCTCCCTTTTGTTATTTTCTCTTTTCCATCAGTATTAATGGGTACATATTTTTAAATTATTTTTAAACATCTGCAATTATTACTTATTTATTTAGATTCTTTTAATTATGTTTAGATAGTTTTCTTCTTTTCCCCCCCAAAAATTTCCATCTTAATTTGCCTTGTGTTATATATTGTATATAAGGATGCCATTCTTGCTTAAATGTGGTTAGACTTCTGTTATGAATATATACAGTCAATCTTTCCATTGTCACATTTTCTCTGATTTCTCTTTCAAATCTTGTATTGTCAGCAAGGTTTGTTTTCTTTTGCAATATTGTGTGGGCTGGATTCTTGTCGCTGTTGGCATATATCTTAATAAGCTGTGGTACTTTTTCATTTTGCTCTCTAGGATCAATATTTGTGGTTTCCACTAAAAATTTATTTTCAGAATTTTCTAAAGGCTTTGGTATGTTTTTTTCCCCAAAACTTTTGAGTCTTTTTGCATGAATATATATATGGCAAAAAGTTACATTTCTAATATTTATTGTGTGATCTATCTATTTTGGTAATTATTGCAAGAATTATATACCATTTACAGAACATTTTATACCAATTTTCTCTCCTGTGTGGCTTGGTGTAAATTTTACTATTTTTTTCCATAGTTCCACTATCATTTCTTTTAAAATTTACATTCATTTTATCATGCAATTTTTAATTTGTTTTCTCTTCATATGTTTTGTATCATGTTGGCATAAGTAACCATCTCTTTCTTATCTTAATTATCCTTGAGATAAAAATGTTTGAAGATGATGATGATGCTAGTGGTAAAATTGTTGGACTTTCAAGAAATTTCAATTTTTTAAAGAATTTTACTAAATTTCATAAATAGAGATAAAATACAAAATTGTGACCAAATAGGAAAGATGGGAATTGAATAGCAAGGACAGGTTTAAAAAGTAAAATTAAAAAACAAACACCAAAAATAACAAAAAAGGATTCCTTCCAACTGTCTTCAATACAGATACAGTTATACAATTAAATACACTCTTGTTTTAGTTTAACCAAAGAAAACATTCAAAACTGAAAATATAAAGGTATACATACTAAACAATCACTTAATAATTGCAATAGTATATAATATCATAATCTCTTAATCTGAATTAAATATATAGCCCATACATATATCATATTATGAATTCCAAAAATAACCATATTACTAGATTACTAATTAAATACTATCTGTGTGTTTAATTAGTATAATTAAAGTTTTAATTATACTAATTAAATAGTATAATTTAATACTAATTAAATTAGAAATTAAAAACTAATTTAAATACTAAATAAACACACATACACACATACATACATGCATGCATAAATTGTATAGTGTAATGTAATATAACCCTAAGTACTCCTCAAAAGTTTACAGCAGAGGTGTCAAACTGGTGGCCTGCAAGTCCGTTGCATCATACAGAGACTGTGCCCACCCCAGCTATTGCAATGCAAAAAAAGTCACGATACATTGCGACACGTCATGTGAAGCAGCAAGTTTGACACCTGTGGTTTACAGGAATAGTAATGTACATATTTGAATTTTTTTCACTGGGGGGGGCAGTCTTACTGGGAGCATTATTACTTTGATTCATTAGGATGTTCCATACCCTCTCCCTAGAGTTCAAGTCCTCAGTATATGCACAAACGAAAATGTTAATGTGCTATTACCTTGTGGAATTGTTTCAGATGCCTTCCCTCATAAACTGTAAGAAATTGCATCAAGTGAGACATTTAACATTATGTTGCTTAAAACATTTTAAGAACCCCTTATGGTTTAGCTGTTTAAAAGCTATCATAGCTTGTTTCTAATATTTTATTTTTCATAGACATATACTGTAAAGACACCACCAAAATCTAAACTGCTAAGAGAAAGCACCAATTTAGTTTCAGAAGGAAGAAAAAAGAAAAGAAAAGTTATTTTGGAATTGGATTCTCGGTCAGACAGCTCTGACAATACTGACCTCCTGGTATTAATTTAAAAATTACTCTTGCTTTTTATTGAAATGGCTGGAAACATGTACAAAAAGTAGAATTATTTTATTAATTTAAATAATAATATTTAATGTAAGTTAAATAGCTTCAACTGTTTCAGTTATTCATGATTTTGAAATTGTTTTTAGAGCAAGAGCAGGGCATTCATCAGGGCTTGATTAAAAAATTATGAAAAGGAAGTTATAAATGAAGTGAAAATATTTTTAAATTGTAAGGTTACAGGTGTAGATGATATGACTGGAAAAATGTAAATATATAAGATGGTTGTCTGGGCAAGAGAATCTTTTATTGACTCTCAATATTGCCAACATAGTAAGGAAGACTAAGAGATACAAGCAACTTGCTTCAGAGATTCCATAGTAGCTTCTTTGCTTCTGGTTTGTTAAATTTTTCCCATTGATGGATTCACTTTATTGTAATTTTTTTTGCAAGCCCTATTGCACTCTTTGAGAAGGGGGTGTTGCATTATCAATAGAATAGGGAAATATGATGAACACAAGAAATGTAAGATCAAAACAAGGAAATAACGTAGAAAGAGCTTGGACTTGCAGAATAATTCCAAAGATGAACAACAACTTAAACTAGAAGACTTGCTATAGTGCAACAAGATAAGTGAGTTCAATTTAAATTTTTATGCCTCTCTTAATAATCTGCAGTATTATTCAGGGAAAGTGAAGAACTTGTATCTCTTGAGGATGGGATACAATTAGAAAATGGGGAGGATGTGAATATGTGAGAGTTGAAGTTTCTTGCACTGGTGTTGATATTGATTTGATGTACCATGTGAATAAGAAATACAGTACACAACCTCTCAAGGAAAGTGGGCTGGCAATATAGAGATGAAAAAGATTGGAAAAACAAATCATTTTGAAACTGTTATTATCATGACCTGGGTAGAAACTTTCCCCCTCCAGACAAAATTATGGTGCAAATTATTACAAGTGAGATGAATGGGAGCAGATAAAATTCTTTTCACCCAACTTCTTTGACGACAGATTAACCAAAGTGACCTAATGGACAATTAGTGGTTCTAATCTATTCTGGATATAAAACAAATATAACATTTAAATGCTTGCAGGAAAGATGGATATTTGGGGTGTGGGAGTTGGCAAGGGGAAAAAGGTTTTAAATTATTCCAGTACAGATTTTAAACTATATTGATATTCATCCTCTGCTAAAGGGGCAGTTTGAGGTAGAGGGAAACAACGGCAATTGGAAAAGAGCACCAAATATATTACTTTCCAAAGAAGATAAGCTGGTATGAAGACTCAGATTCAAGGTCAGACTTGACTAACTAAGCATGAATCCCTGGAACAAATAAGGGAAGGACATCCAGACTGGAGATGAGAAGAAAGGGAGAAAAATATTTCCAATCCAACCTTTATCAACCTGTTCTTACCTGAACCAAAATAAATCTTTTATTTATTGGAAATAGTAAAGGGCTCATTAACAACAGCTGCCATTTCCAATTAATCATTGAAAACTTTAATCCCAATAAATTATAAAAAGTGGCACATTAACTACTTAACTAAAGGTCAGTGAGAAAATAGATCAGAAGACAAAATCAGGTTAATAAGGGAATTAAAAGGATTTAGCTCTTAATTGGTAGCTATAGACGGAAAGTAAGCAAGTATAATAGAAACTTTCCCAAAGGAAAAAAGTGAGTCAGTAGACACAAACAGGTGATACTGAGTTCATTCTTAAAGATCTTAACTATTGTGTATCAAAGAAATATTGAAGGCTATAATTGAAAATCTGTGGGGGAAAGTGCTGCTTAAGTAGAAGAGAAATAAATACCATATTATACATGGATGATGTAGCCATTTATTTTAGAACATCTACTGAATGAAAAATAACTCTTAAAGGCCTGGTTCTGTAAAAAGAAATTGGATATTAATCACAAACTATTAAAATTACATTTTTGCCAGAAAACCTAAACACATATCTGGTGAATAGATGGGCATCTAAGTATCTGGCAATGGCATTTTATTCTGGTAGTAAGAAAACATATATAATATATTCTTTCCAACATGCATAGAGAACTGCAACTGTCAATCTTCAATTCTTGAAATATACATGTAGTAATTATATTCCAGCTGCCTTTAAGACATTTCAAGTAAAAAAGATATTTTAGGTCCCTGATTGATAAATTTTTAAGCTCAGAGATTCAGATGTGAAGATATGTTCCTAAAACAATTTTATGTCTTCATGCAGACATGATGAAAACACAGGCAAGAATATGGTTATTTTAAGTTCAGACTTGAATCTGTGACCTCAAAAATACTAATTAAAGTCATCCTATTTACCTGTGCAATTAGCCCATTTCATCCTTGATCGTGGTTTACAATTTACATGGAATATAACATTAATGTTGAAAATTAACACTCTTAGGCTTTCTCCTGTTAACCTTTTTCTGATATGGAAAAGTTTGTACAATGGTGTAATAATGATTATGAACACCAGGCAGCCATTAGTATGCCTAATTTTTTCCTGAAAATTGGAAAAATTTAATAATACCAGCAGTATATTCCAGCAGTTAGAAGCTTCGAAGTATAGAAAGCTTTTCCATTGCTGTGTTTAAAATATTTTCCTTCCACAATTGCAGAGAAGAAATACAGAAAAATTCTGTATATGAAATAGTGATGCCTTTGTAAAATAAGTGAATTGGGACCATTGAGCATGCCCTTTTTCAACTGCCTGCTATATAGAAATTTGTGTATTAATTTGATCTTTCTGATATTGTCAAGATTAGCAGAGCACAAATGCTATTATAATGAATTATAATGCCCCAGTAACATGTAAAGTTGTTTCCTTTTATGTTGCAGTTTACAAACTTTCCAGAAACTGATTAGGAATAAAAATTTTGTAAGCTATGAAATAATGTTTGATATTTTATAAATTAAAGCTAACTTAATACTAAATATCTGATTACTTTTAGATATAGACTAAGTATAACCATCATTACTGTCTATGTAGTTCAGTGTTCTTTTTTCTATAGGTGGCTAACAAAATACATGTAGCCTTGGAATCCCTCCAGCAGAGAGTAACTAACAAAAATTCTCAAAATTTGGAAATAATTTTTCCAGATTTGTAAAATAAATGGTTATTTCACACATATATGTATTATTATTATTACATTTATTTGCTGTCTATCTTGCCATGGGGCTACTCTAGATGGCTCACAATCATAAAAAACTAAAAAGTTTAAACAAAGCAAAAGTAAAATATCCAAGGAAAAAGAAAACAAAGAAAATACATCAATATGATTAGTAAAAAAGTATGTGCAAGTGGGGAGCAGAAAACAGGGGAGGGGAGGTGGCATCTGCTACCAATGTAGCAGCCACCAGTTGAACTCCCCTTTGGGTCCATAGGCCAACTTGCAGAGCCAGGTCTTTAGGCTCTTACGGAATGATAGGAGATTGGGGGCAGGTCTTACCCTGGTGAGTAGGATGTTCCAAAGAGTGGATGCTGCGGCAGAGAAGGCTCTTCTGGAAGACAGTAGTGTTCTTTGACTGACGGAATCCACAGTAGACCTTCTCTGCTGGCCTGGGTAGGACAGGCTAGACTTAGCAGGACAGTACAATTCATATGTATCCTCCCCATACAAGTTTTTATATTTGGTTATCTAGAAAGTATTCAGATAAATTGTCAAACTGTAATGTATTAGGATTATATGAAGCAGGTGTCTTCCATTAATGTCCATTCAAGCCCAGAACCTCAGGAATGGCTTTGCCATAGGGAGCAAATATGCCTCCTAAAATGCTATACATGGCTCTGTTTCTTGTAGGATGCATTGGATTCTTCACTTGGAAATTATTTTTCCAATATCTAAGGATGTCATTCACAATCATTGAATTAAGTGAAATGAAATCTGTGTTTATGTAAAATAAAAGGATGGTCAACTGGGCATATTTTTTATTCTTCAGTGCTGTAGGATTCCAGTTAATGAATTGATATTTGATACTATCACTATGATACTATCAAAATTCCCAATTAATTTATCTGGAGGTCATTCCAAACTTTCTGTAAGCATTCAGTGTTTTCCTCCAGAATACACCTACATTGTATTTGTTCTTGATTTAATGGTATTTGTTTACTTTTCTCATTTATAAATGCCATATCTAATTAGTCTGCTGAAACTTTATTAACTGATTCCATAGAAATATTGTTTAGAGAACTGCATTATACTGTTATGTTTATCAACTGTCTGAATTATACTGTATATTCTAGGAATATTGGAATATGATTAGGTTATTTTTGATTAGAGATTTGGGGGACTTATTCATTGTAATATATATTTCATGTCCACATTTTTATTTACTATACACAGAAGCCCTACATTACATGTGAAAGCAAAAAAAATTAAGAGTTCTTTTTCCCCCACCATTGACTAATACATTCTTGTCCTATAATGTACGGAAGCAGTGAGGGCAATGAAGATTACATGGAGGAGATGGCAAAGAGTAGATCTCCTTTCCTACTATGAATTTAGATCACCTTTTTTGTGAACTGAGAGAGAAAAGAGAAAGAATAGTACATTTTAGTGGCTAATACAACACCCTAAATGAGATATAATTTAGTTTTTGTAGGATCTAATGAAATAGGAAAGAAGAGATTCAGTAGATGAAAATATTTACTTTTAACAATTATTTCCCCCCCAAGAGTATTGTAACAGAACAAGAAATGTTTAAAAAGCTGAATAAAGATTACTCAGAATCTTCTCATCTATACGTCCGGACACCAAAGCAGGTATTAGTAATTCCCTGGAAGCCAAATTTGACTTCAGAATGACTACTTACCAAATACTAAGTCAAGCATTTTATTTATAGATTCAAGCTCCATCTATTCTGAAAACTCCAGGATCTTCGATGAAACTTGCCACTGTAAGAAAGATGCGAGAGGCAGGATGGACTGCAATCTCCAAAATCGACAGAAGAAAAAAAATGAAAGAAGCTGGAAAGCTCTTTACTTAAACCAAATCTTTTTT